GAGAGAGAGAGAGAGAGAGAGAGAGAGAGAGAGAGAGAGAGAGAGAGAGAGAGCGGGCCTTACAGGACCATGCAGGGCCAGCCGGAAGCCCCAAGCAAACACTTTCCAATTTAGAAGGCTTGTTTTTTTCAGTATCCTGTGGAAGGTCTTAAAATTGTTGCATTTATTTATTTATAGGGAGGAGGTGTTACATGTGGCACAGCTTGTGTGTGCTGGTCAGATGATAGCTTACAGGAGTGGTTCTCTCCTCCCACCAAGTAGGAGCCAGGGTGGAGCTCAGGTGGCCAGGCGTGGCAACATGTTCTTCCTCCTCATGTGATTGAGAAGTTTTTAAAACTTTTGTTAGAAGGTAGCAGGGCCAAGGTTTATTTTGTTGTGGGTTTTGTTTTTGTTGTTGTTGTTGTTTGTTTGTTTTTGTTTGTTTGTTTGGTTTGGTTTGTTTGGTTGGTTGGTTTGCTTTTTGGAGACAGGGTTTCTCTGTGTAGCCCTGGCTGCCCTGGAACTCACTCTGTAGACCAGGCTGGTCTCGAACTCACAGAGATCTGCCTGCCTCTGCCTCCCACTGCCCGGCCTCATGTTTCTTTTTTATTATTATTTTTAATTAGTGTGTGTGCATAGTACACTGTAGGTATGTATGCTCTGCCTTGAGAACGTGGTCATCAGGACAATTTTGTGGAGTTGGTTCTCTCTTTCTTTCCCTCTTTCCCTGATCACCAGACTTTCAGGACAGGTTGCTTTTACCTGCTGAACCATATCACTGGCCCTGTTTTTTCCTTTTTTTTTTTTTTTTAGGAGGACTTTGTAGGGACTAGGGCTATGATTGCTTGCTGTACAAGCGTGGGAACCTGAGATTTTGGATTCCCAACAATAATGTAAAAAGCTAGGCACAGTGGCACACAGCTGTAATCCCAGCTGACCAGCCAGTTGAACCAAATTGGTAAGCTCCTGAGTCAGTGTGAGACCCTTTCTCAAAAAAGGAAGGTGGATGGGGTGAGAGATAGCCCAGTGAGCACACAAGACCTGCTCTTGAATCTCAGCCTCTCAGAAAAAGCTCGGTATGTCCGTGCATGTACCCATAATCAGTGTCATGGGGGCCTGCCTAGCTCCAGGTTCAGTGCAGAACACCCAACAACTCTGACCTCTGTGCAGATATGGGAGCATATACAACACACACATTTGTAAATAAAAAGATGAAGGGCAGGGCATTGTAGCACATGCCTTTTTTAAAATGATTTATTTATTTTTATCTGATGTACATTGATTGGTGTTTTGCCTGCCCATATGTCTGTGTGAGAGTGTTGGATCCCATGGAACTTGAGTTACAGACAGTTGTGAGCTGCCAAGTATGTGCTGGGAATTGAACCCAGGTCCTGTAGAAGAGCCACTAGTTCTCTTAACCGCTGAGCCATCTTTCCAGCCCCATAACACATGGGAGACAGGCTGATGGAGTCTCTGTGAGTTCAAGGCCAGCCAGGTCCACAGAGCAAATTCCAGGACAGTCAGAGCTACATAGTGTAGCTGGAGAGCTTCTCTCCGGGTCCCGCCGAGCCCCGGCAGTCTGACAGCCCACTTATAAAATAAACACACAGATGCTTATATTATTTACAAACTGTATGGCTGTGGCAGGCTTCTTGCTAACTGTTCTTATATCTTAAATTAACCCATTTCTATAAATCTATACCTTGCCACGTGGCTCGTGGCTTACTGGCATCTTCACATGCAGCTTGTCATGGCGGCAGCTGGCAGTGTCCCTCCGCCTTCCTGTTCTCTCAGTTCTCCTGTTAGTCCTGCCTATACCACTGGCCAATCAGTGTTTTATTTATTGACCAATCAGAGCACATACAGACCATCCCACAGCAACATAGTGAGATCCTGTATTGAACAAAACAAAAACAAGATAGAGAACGATTGAGGAAGACAGCTGATGTAGACCTCTGGCCTCTGTATGCAAGCATATACACTTGTACACACATGCATGCATGAATACACAGACACACAAGGTTTTGCTATGTAGCTCAGGCTGGCTTCAAACTCATAGTCTTTCAGGTTCCCATGTAGCTGTGATTATGGGCAGGCATCGTTATGACTGTCTCCTCTCAAAACATTTTTTAATCAGTACTGTGTGTGCTCTGTGTCAATTTGGATAATCAAGTTAGTTTGGTTGTTTGATTTGATTTGTCCTGGAACTCACTATGTAGTCCAGGCTGGCCTCAGACTCCTAGCGATCCTCCTGCTTTAGGTTCTCAGGTATCAGAACTAGAGGTATGAGCTACCTCAACTGACTGGTGACTTGGGGATAAATTCTGGCGCTCATGTAATGGGTGTTGAGTTAGTTTAATTCCCTTCTTAACTGGAATTTTGAGTTGTTCCTATACCTCAATTTATCTTCGTTGCTACTTCATAACTATAATTTTGCTATTATGTTTCATACTGTTATGAATCATAATGTAAATATTTTAGAGATAGAGGTTTGCTAAAGGGGTCGAGACTCACAGGTTGAGAACCACTGTATTAGATGTTTTCCCACATAATACCCACAAGCCAAAAAACATGTTCTTATCATAGTGAATTCATTCTATCTTCAGTATAAATAAATTTAAGTGCATTTTAAGAAAACATAGTCCAAATAAGACTTTTTCATGCAGTTCCATCAGTGCTGAATTAGAGCTTGTCATTGCAGGTGGGGTGGAAGACAACCAGGGAGTATTACACCTTCATGTGGGTTGCCTTGCCCAGTGACCTAAACAAGGAATCAACCAGGCAGCTGGAAGTCCAGTTCAAAGGTAGGAAAATACTAGGTCAAAAGTGCTGAGAACTCTGGCCAATGCTAATTAATCCCCTTGAGTTTTCTGGGACAGTTTTTGGTTTTGTTTTAAATGGGATAGCTCTTATTTTGTATTAAAAACCACATTCCACTTTCAGCTTATTATCTGCCCAAGGACGATGAGCATTACCAGTTCTGCTATGTGGATCAAGATGGCGTGGTCCGGGGAGCAAGTATCCCTTTCCAATTCCGTCCAGAAAGTGAGGAGGACATCGTGGTTGTTACCACGAAGGTCTGTAATCATCTCCCTCAAGCCTTTCTGTAGAATAGGAGCTCCAGCTTGGGTGGACTTTGCATCAATGACTCTACAGAATTGCTATGGATAGATATTGTTGGGGAAAATCATATGATACTGCTCTAACCCACTCAGGGATGACTTGGGAATAATTTTAAAAAATCAAAACATGATTTCTCCCTTCTCTGGAACTTCTATAACTATTCAGTCCCCTTAGCTGTTACAGCTTTTATTTATTTATTTATTTGCTTTAGTTTCATTTGCATTGGTATTTTGCCTGCATGTATGCCTGTGTGAGGATGTTAGAGACAGTTGTTAGCTGTCATGGGGGTGCTGGGAATTGAACCTAAGTCCTCGGGCAGAGCAGTAAGTGCTCTTAACCACTGAACTATCTCTCCAGCCCCTCCCCCCTTTTTTAAAGACAGAACCTCAACAACAACAAAAAAGACAGACCCTCACACTATGGCCCAGGCTGGCATAAAATTCAGGGCAGTCCTCCTGCCTCAGCATCTAGAATTCTAAGATTATAGGAATGCGCCACTGTGCCCAGTGTCACTCATAACGTTCTATTATTATTATTATTATTATTATTATTATTATTTCCTGGAGACAGGGTTTCTTTGTGTAGCCCTGGCTGTCCTGGAACTCATTCCTTAGACCAGGCTGGCCTCAAACTCACAGACATCTGCCTGCCCCTGCCTCCTGAGTGCTGGGGTTAAAGGCATGCGCCACCACCTCCCATCCACTCAACTTCTTCTGGCCTTAGGTTTGCTGGTCTTTGTCTCCTGGCAAGAGCAAACCTAATTCTACGATAACACAGGCACGTGATGTTGCCCCTTTCCTCCATTTGGAGGCTGTTCTCCCTGGCGTCCACAGTGTCGCTCCAGTGGGTGGGAATCACTCAGCTGCTCGTCCGAGCTTGTGGGGAGTTCCCGCTGGAAGGACTTGAAGGCAGCTGCTGCGGTGTTGGCTTCTTGCAGGGAAAGGTGGAAGAGATCGAGCAGCACAATGAGGAGCTTCTCCGAGAAAACCAGGAGCTGAGAGACAGCTGTGCCAGCCTCCAGAAGCAGCACTCAGACGCGCAGGCTGAGCTGGAGAGGAAGCAGGTACGGATGCTGGCCAGAGGTGAAGGTGGAGCATGGAAATGAGAATTGATGGCAGTGTCTCTGACCCAGGGCTGTTTCCGCTTGCCTTGGCTTCCTTCCTTTACACCCCACCCTGTTTTTGGTTTTTCAAGACTGGGTTTCTCTGTGAAACAGTCCTGGCTGTCCTGGAACTCACTCTGTAGACCAGGCTGGCCTTGAACTGACAAGGATGCCTCTAGAGTGCTAGGATTAAAGGCGTGCGCCACTACCACCCAGCACTTTTTTTTTAAAGTGGGGTCTTGATATGTAGCCTAGGCTGGCCTTAAACTCAAGAGTCTCCTGCCTCAGCTTCTCAAATGCTGGGATTACAGGCCTGTACCACCACCCTTCTACACCCAGGTTTTGTTTTGTTTTGTTTTGTTTTGTTTTTATGGAGACAGAGTCTCACTATGTGGTTTTGGCTCTTCTGGAACTTGCTATGTAGACCAGGATGGCTTTCACTGTTTGGCCTAATGGCTCAGGCTTCTAGCTATCTAGTTATTACATCTTAAATTAATCCATTTCTATAAATCTATACCTTGCCATGTGGCTCGTGGCTTACCAGCATCTTCACATGCTGCTTGTCATGGTGGTGGCTGGCAGTGTCTCCTCCTGCCTTCCTGTTCTCTCAATTTTCCTCTCTGTTAGTCCTGCCTATACTTCCTGCCTGGCCACTGGCCAATCAGTGTTTTATTTATTGACCAATCAGAGCAATTTGACATACAGACCATCCCACAGCAAAACGTATATTTGGAAAGAATTTAACTCAAATTATTTTAACATTATCTTAAATTAATTTTACCTCTCCTCCCGCATGTCTTGCTCCCTCTGCATCTAACTGGCGAATCTGCCTTTCTTCTTCCCAGACCTCTCTCTGTCCAGTAGTCCCACCTATACCTCCTGCCTACCTATTGGCCATTTAGCTTACTATTAAACCAATCACAGCCACACATCTTCATACAGTGAAGATTCACAACAGTGTCCCAATCCCTCCACTGGAAGTCTTGCTATTCACCATTGCTAGAGTCTTAGCTGGGGTCAACCTTGTAGAATCCTGGGAGTTTCCCTTGCACCAGGTGTCTACTTGACCCAGAAATGCCCCCTTTCCAGTCATCTCTTTCAGTACTCTCCCTCTCCATCCACTCCTCAACCTGACCCCTCATGTTCCCACCCCCACCTGACTCCAATCCACCCTCAAGATCTCTTCTATTTCCTCTTTCCAGGGAGATCCAAGCATCCCCCCTTGAGCCCTCCTTGTTACCTAGTCTCTCTGGTCTGTGGATTATAGCATGGTTATCCATTACTTTACAGCTAATATCCACTTATGAGTGAGTATATACCATGTTTGTCTTTTTAGGTCTTTAGTTACCTTACTCAGGATGATTTTTTTCTAGTTCCATCCATTTGCCTTCAAATTTCATGATGGTATTGTTTTTGACAGCTGAGTAATACTCCACTGTGTAAATGTACCACATTTTCTTTATACATTCTTCAGTTGAGGGACATCTAGGTTGTTTCCAGGGTCTGGCTATTATGAATAATGCTTCTATGAACATAGTTGAGCAAGTATCCTTGTGGTATGATTGAGCATCTTTTGGGTATATGCCCAAGAGTGGTATTGCTGGGTCTTGAGGTAGATTAATTTCCAGTTTTCTGAGAAACCACCATATTGAATTCCAAAGTGGCTGTACAAGTTTGCACTCCCGCCAGCAATGGAGGAGTGTTCCCCTTACTCTACATCATCTCCAGCATAATCTGTCATTTGTGTGTGGAGGGGAGGGGCAGGTTAGCTTTTTGGATTTTTGAGACAGGGTTCCTTTGTGTAGCCTTGGCTATCCTGGAACTAGTTCTGTACACAAGGCTGGCCTCAAATTCATAGAGATCTGCCTGCCTCTGTCTCCTCAGTGCTGAGATTAAAGGTGTGTGCCACTATCACCTAGTCATTTGTGGTTTTTGTTCTTAGCCGTTCTGACTGTGTGATATGGAATCTCAAAGCCGTTTTGATTTGCATTTCCCTGATGGCAAAAGAAGGGTATTGAACATTTTTTTAAGTGTCTCTTGGCCATTTGAGATTCTTCTGTTGAGAATTCTCTGTTTAGATCTGTACGCCATTTTTAAATTGGATTATTTGGTTTTTTGATGTTTAGTTTCTTGGGTTCTTTATATATTTTGGAAACCAGCCCTCTGTCAGATTTGAGATTGATGAAGATCTTTTCCCATTTTGTAGGCTGCCATTTTTTCCTATTGACAGTGTTCTTTGCCTTACAGAATCATTTCAGTTTCAGGAGGTCCCACTTATTAATTGTTGCTTTTAGTGTCTGTGCTACTGGTGTTGTATTTAGGAAGTTGTCTCCTGTGCCAGTGCATTCAAGGCTACTTCCCACTTTCTCTTCTATCAGGTTCAGTGTAACTGGATTTATGCTGAGGTCTTTTATCCACTTGGACTTGAGTTTTGTGCATGGAAATAGATATGGATCTATTTGCAGTCTTCTACATGCTAACATCCAGTTATGCCAGCACCATTTGTTGAAGATGCTTTCTTTTTTTCCATTGTACACTTTTAGCTCTTTGTCAAAAATCAAGTGTCCATAGGTATGGTTATATCTCCGCCTTTGACACCATGCTGTTTTTAATTACTACATGTCTTAGAGTTTCTATTGCTGTGAAGAGACACTATGACCATGGCAGCTCTTATCAAGGAAAAACATTTAACTGGTGTGGCTTAGATTTTCAGAGATTCAGTCTATTACCATCATAGTGTGACATGGTGGGGTGCAGGCGGACATGGTGCTGGAGAAGTAGCTGAGAGTTCTACATCCTTGATCCTCATGCCACAGGAAGTGAACTGAACTAGACCCAACTTGAGCATAGGAGACCTCAAAGCCCACCCCTACATGACACACTTCCTTCAACAGTGCCACACCTACTTCAACAAAGCCACACCTTCTAAAAGTGCCACTCCCTATGAGTTTATGGAAGCCAACTACATTCAAATTATCACACTACAGCTAGCTTTGTAGTAGAGCTTGAGGTCAGGGATGGTGGTACCTCCCTAGGTTCCTTTATTGTACAGGGTTGTTTTAGCTATCCTAGTGTTTTTGTTTTTCCATATGAAGTTAAGTATTGTTCTTTCAAGGTCTGTAAAGAATTGTATTGGGATTTTAATGGGGATTTTGTTAAATATGTAGATTGCTTTTGGCAAGATGTTAATCCTACCAATCCATGAGCATAGGACCGACCTAGACCCTCTGCATATATGTGACAGTTGTGTAGCTTGGTCTACTTGTGGGACTCCTAACAGTGGGAGCAGGGCTGTCCCTAATGCATTCTGGCTTTTGGAAACCTATTCCTCATACTAAGTTGCCTTGCCCAGCCTTAATACAAGTCCCACCACAACTTGATATGCCATGTTTTGTTGATATCCATGGGATGCCACCCCTTTCTGAACAGAAACAGAGGAGTGGATTGGGGGGAGCAGAGGAGAGGAAGGGGAGGGACTGGGAGGAGAGGAGGGAGGGGAAACTGTAGTCGGGTTGTAAAATAAATAAATAAATTTAATTAATAAAAAAGAAAATTAAAAAAATATCTTTTGGTGTGGAATCCCCTTAGTGGTGCCCTTCTCTCTGTGTAGTGCTCTGCCTAACTAGTACAGTATTGGAAAGTGGCTACTAAGTTAAAAGTGCTAATAGAGTAGTACTCTCCTGTTACTGTGATAGAGCACCATGGCCGGGGCAACATGGGAAAGAGAGGCTTTGTTTTGGCTCACAGTTCCAAGGGGTGAGTCCATCATGGTGGGGAGGCGTGGCGGCAAACTGCAGGGATGGTGGCAGGAGCAGGAGGCCCCACTTCGTTTACAAGCATGGGTTGCAGTGAGCACTGGAAGTGGGGCAAGGCTGTACCCTCAAAGCCTGCCCTTGGTGACGGTGACGAGCTCCCTCCAGCAAGGCTGTACACCCAAAGCCTACCCTCAGTGACACACTTCCTCCAGCAAGGCTGTACACCCAAAGCCTACCCTCAGTGACACTCTTCCTCCAGCAAGGCTGTACACCCAAAGCCTACCCTCAGTGACACACTTCCTCCAGCAAGGCTGCACCTTCTCAGAACCTTTCCAAACAGCACCACTAGCTAGGGACCAAGTGTTCAAATGCCTGAGCCTGAGAAGGACATATCTCATGAAACCACCACAGTGCTTACATACTAAAACTTGTCTTAAAAATGATCTGCCTCTTAATCATGTTTCGCTCTCCAGGAGGCACTAGAGGCACTGCAGAGCACCAATAAGAAGTTAGAAGAGGACATGGAAGAGCAGAAGGCCTGTTGGGAGACTGAGATGCTCCGGTGAGTATGCCTGCCCTCTTCTTGCATGGGAGCGATGGCAGTTTGTAGTTAACACTGCTCGTTAAGGTAGGGAGTGACCGAACATCCCTGTCATCCCATTGGTCATCCTCGGCTACACAGGGACTTTGAGGGCAGCACAGGCTACGTGATACCCTATTTCAAACAAAACAAACAAAAAACCCGACTTCCTGTTATGGCATGTATGTAGGTGGTTAACTGTTGTCTTGGGCCAGGCCAGGCCTGAGTCACTTATGTACTGGGGTAATTGATCTGGAATCATAAACAATCATCTCCACTCCCATAGACTGAAAGAACACAACCAGAAGATATCCTCAGAAAACGAGAAGCTGGGGAGCAGAGTAGACCAGCTTCAGGTGAGTGACAGTGTGCTTTTGCCAAAGGGCATTTTCCAGAAAGATGTTGCTCCTTGTAGCGAGTGCCTCGAAGCACAGCAGTGATGTTCAACTTTGGTGCTGTGGCAGAATATCTGATGTAAAAACTTGACAAAGGAAGGATTGATTTGGCTCAGAGTCTAAGAGGTTCCCGTCCACCGTGGTGGAGAGGGTGTGACAGCAAGCAGCTCACACCGCGGCATCCAGGAAGCAGAGAATGCTTGGGCTGGCTTTCTCCTTCCCTTGTGTTCTGCCCGAGCCCCTAGGTACGCCTTTCCCTTTTAGTACCTCCTTAGAAATTCTACAGAAGCCAGATGTGGTGGTGCCACAGCACTAGGGAGGCAGAGGCAGGCAGAGCTCTGTAAATCCAAGTCTAGTCTGGTCTACAGAGCATGTTCCAGGACAGCCAGGGCTACACAGAGAAACCCTGTCTCAAAGGGGAAAAAGAGAGAGAGAGAGAGAGAGAGAGAGAGAGAGAGAGAGAGAGAGAGAAGAAAGAAAGAAAGAAAGAAAGAAAGAAAGAAAGAAAGAAAGAAAGAAGAAAGAAAGAAAGAAAGAAAAAGAAAGAAGAAAGAAAGAAAGAAAGAAAGAAAGAAAGAAAGAAAGAAAGAAAGAAAGAAAGAAAGAAAGAAAGAAAGAAAGAAAGAAAGAAAAAGAAAAGGAATGTCCACAGACACAGAGTACTGCGCTCATCTCAGAGGCATTCTCAGGCGGATGGGATCGACAAGCAAGACTGAACACTACCATTTTCAGAGCATCAGACTTCAAGTTAGGCTATGGGTTTTTCAGTCTTAGATCATGTGGTCCCACATGTGCATATTACAAATAGTAATGGCCTACGAGGAAATTAATAATTTGTGTTTGTGTCTATATCGTGAACTAATCTTAAGGATGATAATCATTTATAACAATGATTTTCATTTATTACAAAATTTTCACAAGCAAAATCTTACTCCAAAGCCTAGGATGTAAAGCAGAACTGCTCTATATTTAGGAAGAAAGACAAGCTTTCGTTTAAAAAAAAAAAACAAAACGAGATTGGTTGACCATTGCTCAGTTGAGTCGGATTCTGGGCCGTGTGGCAGAGCCGGTGAGTGGAGGAACTCCGAGGGGTCTCTGCAGTTGGGAGTTGCTAGGAATCATCTTCGCTCCTGTGCGCGTTAGCTTGTAACATGGCTCCCACTTAGTTTTCCTCTCTCTTACTGTGGAATTCACTCTTTGCTTTAGGCCCAGCTGTCAACTCAAGAGAAAGAAATGGAAGAGCTTGTTCTGAGAGACCAAGACATGACAGAGCAGCTGCAGCGTCTCAAGGATGAAAATAGCCAGCTCGTCCTCAGTCTCACTGAACAGGTAGACCCGTGCAGGAAACCTTCCCACGAAAACACACCTTGTGCTTGCTTTCCTCGCTCTGGGGAAGGGCTCAAGATGCCTTTACCTCTACTGCTGTTTTTTGAGACACCATCTCACCGTGTATCCCTGGCTGGCCTGGAACTCAGTTTCTGCTGCCTCTGCCTCTTGGGCTCTGGATTAAAGGTGTGCGCCACCACACCCACCACACCCAGCTCAAAGAAGCCATCTTGTCTGAGGTTATGTCATGATCTTATTCAACAACTAAAAGACTTCCTCAGCATCCTGCTTGCTCATGAGTTCAGTGTGTGCATGTATGTGTATGTGCACGCGTGCGCCTGTGCGCCTGTGCGTGTGTTCCCAGCGTGGTACTAAAGTCTCTTTCTGTGCAGAAGGAGCAGCAGAAGAAGCTTGAGCAGACAGTGGAAAAGATGAAGCAGAGAGAAACCACGGCCAGGAAGAAGCAGCAGGAGCTGACGGCATGTTGACTGTTTGTGCATGGCTCTGTGGGCGGTGCCTAGGGAGACAGGGGGGGCTGTTTTCAGGAGATGGAAAGACAACCGAGACATTAGGGTAGCATTCACCTATGGGGTTTTACTTTCTATCCAAAAGGACAGAGAATCTGCCATTTGAAAGATGTTTCAGAGAGGTGGATGTGTCTAATATGTGATGAGTGATCAAGGAGTATGGAAAATTAAACATCAGGACACAGTAGTGGACAGATCTTTGGGTTAGGAACTCACTCCAGATTTGTTATGACAAACAAGTGAATAACTATAAAGAGCCACACGAATATACATAGCAATGAAAGCCTAATTAACTAGTAATTTCCTGAAATAACTTGTTGGAAAAGAGGCCTCACGATGCTGACAGGTACTGAAATCTGTGTTTTCTGAATGGATGTCAAAAAACAACATGAGGATTCTGACATCGGAAAGTGTCCAGACTGCCTCATACTGTAGCTGCATCGCTCTGGCCCTCACATTTGGTCAAGTTGTGAGAACTGACTGTGTGTATACTGCTTATTTGCTAGCTCACTCTTACAGTCTCAGCCAGGAGAGGCTGAGGCAGGAGGGCTGGGATTCAGTCATCCTGAGCTGCATAATAAGTTTGAAGCCAGCCTACCTTCCATGAGACCCCGTCTCCAGAACCACGAATGTGAAAGGTGAAGAGCAGGACAGGGTTTGCAAACCGTTCAGCCCTACGACGGGCCTTGAAGAAACTGAATTCGTTACTAACCTTTACAGTTGAGACCGTTTCCCACAAACCCGCATTTCCCACTTGTGAAAAATGGCAGCGTCTGGTACCATTGAGCCCACATTACTGCAGGGTTACAGCCAGGTGGTTGAGGGACTAGATGGGTCACACGTTCTCGGGGACTGAGCCCAGGGCTTGTCTGTGCTAAGCATGTGCTCCCTCTCCCACTGAGTCGCCACCCCAGCTCTCCTCTTCTGTTCCTTCGCTCCATTTCATCCACTTCTCTCCTGACTCCCAGGCATATGTGAGGTTTTTGTTGAGTGTTGAAGGAGGGGAGAAAATAGCTTTAATCTATAATTATATGAAGATCTGAACCTCCTTATGATTAATCTAGCTTTTCTTGGAATTTTTCAAAACCCAAGGACTCCCCCGCTTGGTGCTAGGCATCAGACTCAGGACCTCACACATGCTCTCCAAGCCTTTACCTCTGAACTATATCCCCTTCCTTATAATCTTTATTTCTCACGCAAACGCTCTCTAACTGCAAGGACTGTGTGTCTTGTACTTCAGGAGCCTAAGAACAAAGAGACAACCACGGAGGAGGAGTTAGTGCGAGAGGTTGACCGCCTAAAGGCAAAGGTAGAGGCCGGGAGAGCCTGTTACTTAGAGAAGTACAAAGAGTGTCAGCGACTCCACAAACAGATCAGGCAACTCAGGGCTTCTGCAATGGTAGGTGCCAGTGAAAGGGCCCAGGAGAGCAAGGGACATGAAAGTCAGGTTCTGACCAGCCCAGAGGATACACACCCTTACTAAGGAGCTTTTTCTTCCTAAAAAGAGAGGGTGGCATTAAGAGACCAGAAGCCAACCTGGGCAAGGGGAAAGTCCCTGGGGACTCAGGCCCATTCATGGATCTCAGGGAAAGTTTCTGTAATGATTCAGGAGGTTCGGTGCAGACTCAGAGTCCTTTCTTATTTCTGCCTTTTGAGGAGGTGAAGCAGGACCAGAAGAGCCAACAGGAACCAGTGGGGATGGGGAGCAAGAAGCCTGACATCGGCACTGTCATCGGGTAGCCCCTCGATTACCTCAGGGCCGGCTAGAAGCGCACAGCAGTTTGGGCACCAGCATTCAAATAAAAAATCATGCAACCAAAACCACAACCAGTAGGATTAGCTGAAGTGTGTCTGTGAGACGTGTGCATGTGTACGTGGACAAGCAAGAAATGGGGAGCACTGAACATGAAACTAGCTGAGTCAACAGCATTCTGGGGAGTTCCGAGCCCAGGCTGTGTACCTGGTGGAACCTGGGAGAAAGTCCTTCCAACCCAGATCAAAGTGCCTCAGGCCCATGGAGTAAGGTGTCCACTCAGAACTAACAGGGTCCTGTCATGCTGGGTAGGATTCCAGGGTTCTAGTTGTCTTCACCTCTGAAAAGTCAGTCTTCAAGGGTCTGCCTCGAGCTCGCCTCGCCTCTCTAGTCTCTTACCCTGTCAGTTAAACTGACACACCTGACATTGCCATGCCTGCTCAAGCTTTCCAGCCTTTGGCCAAGTCCCCAGCACGCTCCCACCTCCCAGGGTTCCCTTCTCCCCCGCCTCAGCCCTCCTCCCTTTGGAAGCCAGCTCCTCCGCAATCTACCTTGGGGCTCCGTTTCAGTATAAGATCCTAACTGTAATGTCTTTGTTGACAGGATGAGAACTTTGACCTGTCTAGAAAGCTAAGTGACAACAAGATTGTGTCTGACGTTCTGAAGAGAGAGAAAGAGAGACTAGACAGAGAGAACAATGTAAGTGTGCAAGAAGGAGGAAATCCCAACATCTCAGGGAGGGCTGGCGGGTAATAGCTCATATTTGTGATTCCAGCTGCTGGGAGGGTAAGGCACGATTAGCTCAAGTTTGAGGTCATCCTGGGCTACAGTGTGAGTTCCAAGGTTACATTGTGAGAGAGACCCTGTCTCAAAATATTCAAATAAACCTGGTGGTGCTGGTGGATGCCTTTAAACCCAGCACTCAGGAGGCAGGAGGATCTCTGTGTGTTTGGGGCCAGCCTGACCTACAAATTCTAGGACAGCCAGAGCTGTTACACAGAGAATCCCTCAAAACAAAACAAACAAAAACGAGAGAGAAAGAGAGAGAGAGAGAGAGAGAGAGAGAGAGAGAGAGAGAGAGAGAGAGAGAGAGCAGGTTAGCTCAGAGGTATGATAGTAAAAGTCGGAGGGTGAATAGAAGGGCCCTTTCCCGGTGAAGCAGGTACTCATAAGCAAAGTAGTCTAACTTACCTCAAAATCCTGGGATTTGTTGGTTTTGTTTTTGTTTTTGAGACAGGATCTCTGTAGCCCAGGCTGGCCTCAAATTTGCCATGAACTGAAAATGACCTTGACTTCTTGAACCCATGGCTTCCATCTGCCCTGTGCTGAGATTACAGTCATCCACTACCATGCCTAGTTTATGTGGTGCTAGGATGGAACCCAGGGAGTTTTGTGCATGCCAGGCAAGCACTCTACAGCTTGGTTAAACCAAAACCCTGCTTTTTAAATTATTTTTTGATGTTTGAAAGAGGGTCTCAATATGCAATCCAGCCTGGCCTTGAACTGGAAGCAATCCTCCTGTCTATGCCTCCCAAATACTAGGATTACAAGGCATATAACACCGAGTCCAGCACATAAACACTCTCTCTGTTCTACATAAACTTACTTGGCATGACAGGGGTCATCTCACAAGAAGCAGCCTTGGTGGTCATGGCTATGGTGACCATTCACTTACTCACCAATCCAATATTAACTATCTGTATGTGCTAACACTGAGCTATTGGCTGAGTTATTTATTGGCTAAAGCAAAAAAAAAAAAAAAAAAAAAATGCTTCTACTTAAAGTCATCTCATGCCCAGCATGCAGGAACAGTTGTCCATTGAGTGTTGTTGCTGCTTCTAGACTGACACCTCTCACTGCTCCATCGCTGCCCTTGCTGGAAACCTTCTGGGCTGTCTGTCCCCAGTGTCAGGAAACTGCAGGAAACTGCAACAACGACAACAAAGGCGTAGGAAGACAGCACAGCAAAATGCACTGCCTTCTTTTTTGTCGTTGTTTGTTTGTTTGTTTTGAGACAGGGTCTCACTGTACCCAGCAAATACTCCTAAAGTACACAGCTCAGAAGCCCTGGCCGTGGGCACTTTATGGCCCCATCTCCGTAAGCAGTCCGTCTAGCACACTGAAACTCCACATACATCAACCAATAAGCCCCTTGAGAATTTCTGAGCTGGCTTTTGTTATTTGGGCTGATGCATTTGGAGATTACAGAAAGCCTTGGGGGTCTGTTTTTGGTCCTCTATTCTCATTCTCTTGGGTTAGATGGGGGTGCGAGGCAGGGTATGGAACACAATCCACCCCACCAAGCAAGAGTCTGCTGTTTGGAAGTCTGGTCCAGAACTGCCTGGAGTGAAAAGCCAGGCATGGAGGTGCATCCTGTACTCTGAGCACTCTGGAGACGGCACAAGCAGGAGAAGCAGGGCTTTGTTTGGATTTATGGGTCATATGAATGTGTGGGTGTGTGCATGTGAGCGCAGGTGCCCTCAGAGGCCAGAGGCCTCAGGTTCTCCTGGAGCTGGAGTTACAGGTGGTTGTGACCTCCCCAGCATGGCTGCCGAGACTCAAAGGGCAGTGCAGGCTTTTAACCGTTAAGGCTTCTGTCCAGCCGTAAGAACCGGGAACTCAGCCAGGGGTGGCAACACAGGCCTCTAATCCCAGTACTCAGGAGGCAGTGACAGGTAGATCCCTGAGTTCAAGGCCAGCCTGATCTACAGAATGAGTTTCAAGACAGCCGGAGTTATGTAGAGAAACAGTCTTGAAAACAAAACAAAAATAAATAAATAAATAAATAAATAAATAAATAAATACAAAATACAAAAATAACTAGGAATGAAAAGTTTCAGCTACCTACATACAAGTTAAGGGCCAGCTTGAGCTACATGAGACCCTGTATCCAACAGAGAGTGGGCCAGTAAGATGCTCATCAGGCAAAGGCATTTGTCGCATAAGCATGATGACCTGGGTCACCCCAAACCCATGCTAAAGTAGAAGAAGAGAAACAACTCCGCAGAACTGTCCTCTAACCTCCAAACTCATGGCCACACTACGGCACGTACATGCCCCACCTCCACCACACACACACACACACACACACACACACACACACACACAC